CCCCAGGTGGGAGGCTTCAATCCCACCCCCCCTCCAACTCCAGGCTGGGCAAACCCCAGAACGGACCTCCTTCCCCTGCCTTTTTCCCCTCCCATCCTGAGACAGAACAGGGGCTGGGGGGTGTGGGGGGCAGAGCTAGGGGAAGAAGCTGCAGAGATGCAGCCTCTCTCCCTGGATCAGCTCCATATTGGAGCTCAGTCCCCCACTCTCACAACCCAGCAGTTACTGTCTGTTGGGTCAGGAGGATCAGTTTAATTCATAGCGCTTGAGTTAGACCAGGGAGCTGCACTTCTGTCTGCGTCTGTATATGATGAATTATCTATATGCCGTTTTGTCCTTGTTTCCTGTAATCCAGTGCTATTGTCAAACATGTAAGACATTACAAAATCATACCTGCATATGTATGTCAAAAACCACGACTTTCTGTCAAGAGGCAACAAGAGGTATGCTTAGCACTAGGTCATTAAATGTGACCTCTGAATTGTATGGAGATGAAAATCGATGACCTGTGGCAAGAGTGAATGCATCATGAGGTCTATAACTGAGAACACAACTCTTTCATTTAATAGTCAGTCAGGTCCTTGTTAACATGGATTCTATGTAATGTCTTAGCAAGTAAATTGTGATGAGTAATTTTAGGGGTCAGAGGACAAAATATGAACTGTGGCAAATGAAAATCAGGGTAGAAAATGGATGCACAATTCCATGCTGTTATATAATCATTAATCCAATTTGGAGCCAGGGTGACTCAGTGATAGGTGATGAGACAGGGTGTCATTCACCCAGAGATTGCTCGTAGTTCAAACCTACACTAGTTGGCCTGTGACTAAGTTTTTACCATCTCAAGGCTGTTCAGTGACCTATGCAAATTCAGACTCCTGTTCTCGGTTGATAAGTACCCTTATCTCAGGCACTGCCACTTCCATTTGCCAATAAGGGGAACTTACCAACAGAGTCTCAACAAAAAGGCTGATAACTGAAGAAGCCCCAGAGACTGCTCAGCCCTCAGACCAGACGTACTTCTCCTTCCAGGACAGAAGCAGGTGTCAGACAGGGAGAGTCAGCATGGTTGTACGGGCTGGGTGGCGGCTGCTGCCAGACGGGAGAGAAGGGGTAGGGAGAAAGGTGGCTGTTTCAATCAGCAGTGCAAGGAATGGGAAACACCTTTCCACTTAGTCCAGCACCCAGTCCAGCACCGGGGGAGATCTCTTCCCCCCTGGGTAGCTAAGCTTCCCACTTTCAAGG